GTGACCACGTCCTTGTAACTATTGCATCAATTAATTATTCAATAAAAGCATTACAGTGATACAAATTTTAACGTCTGGCTGATCACTCAATTTTATGACTAGTCATTTTATTTATATTTTTATACTTTCGTTGTTGTCGTCGATGTTTTTTAATTTTTTTTTTTTAATTTGTTTTTGTTCCTGATAGGGATGATGGTGTTACTGCTGCTTTTGCGGTTTTGATGTTGTCTTCCATATTTGCAGAATGTCGTTGTATCTTAACTTGACCATGAGATATATTCTTTAGTGACAGAATATCCCTGTAACTTAACTTGACCATGAGATATCTACTTAAGTGACAGAATATCCCTGTAACTTAACTTGACCATGATATATCTTCTTTAGTGACAGAATATCCCTGTATCTTAACTTGACCATGAGATATCTACTTAAGTGACAGAATATCCCTGTAACTTAACTTGACCATGAGATATCTTCTTTACTGACAGAATATCCTTGTAACTTAACTTGACCATGAGATATCTTCTTTAGTGACAGAATATCACTGTAACTTAACTTGACGATTGGATATCTTCATATGTGTGATTTTGATGCCGAGAGTTACTCGTACGTCAAAAGGCAAAAGATGAAATACAATTTACTACTTTGATGGTGTTTCTTTCCACAGAATATCATCAAATCGTAATATATGTCTCATTCCATTTTAAATTTCATGTGAAAAAGTTTAACAGCATTCTAGTCATTCACAAATTGTACATCGAAGAGAAATTAATTATGCATTTTTTTCTTGTGGAGATTTCACTGACCTTTCCTTGTTTTGTTCATCGCATTGCTTTATGCCAATGTTACTTTGATTGAACAGCTCCAGCCTCACAATTGTAAAGCTCCGTGTGATATATACATGTTTGAACAGATTATCCAAAAAATCAATCAATTAAATAGCTGTATAATTACAAGCTTGTGTCACGTCTGTATTTTCATACCTGTTCCCGGGACGCCCAGCATCAGCAGTCTTTCGAGTTCAGTCAGCCGTGACATTGACAATACAGGTAAAATAGTACATGTGAGCGTTTGTCTCTCTGTAAACACGTCACGGCTAAAGCGTTTTCATCGCTGTGGTAAAGAGGGAATGTCTTGCTGATGTAAAGGTAAGTGAAAAGTTTGGTGTACATCCATGGCGACTGTGGTGAGTTTTGGATGAAGTACGGACGCGTGTTTGATAAAGCTAAATAGCTGTATATATATATTCTCTTCTGTGTGATTTGTGTGAATTTGACCAGAATTTACTAATCATTGTGCAAATGTACACATCGCTATGAAAAATTAAATAAGACCACATTTATCAAAACTAGTCACTGTCATCCATATCCTCACTAACGGATTCAATATCAGGATTATTGTAAATGACGAGGATGGGGGATGGTGTTGTAGTGTAATACGGAGGTGTGAAAATCCATATTGATCCAGGTGTTTACTTATTCAAGGGACACGTGGAGCCAAGTGAGACCAGCCAACATAACAAAGCGAAAGACAGCTACACATGTAACAATGGCGAAGTAAAACGCTTTAACAATGTTGTTGTGCTGCTTCTAATTTGAATACAGTACATCTGTACCGGTTTAAATACAGTACATATGTACATGTACTGGCCTTAATACGATACATCTGTATAAATACTGGCCTTAATACAAAACATCTGTACTGGTCTGAATACAATACACTTTTACATGTACTGGCCTTCATACAAAACACCTGTACATGTACTGGCCTTCATACAAAACACCTGTACATGTACTGGCCTTCATACAGGACACATGTACATGTACTGGCCTAAGCACAGTACATCTGTACGTCTACTGGCATGAATACACTACACCTGTAAGTATACCGGCATTAATACATTATACCTGAACATGTCCTTGCATGAATACGGTACATCTGTACATGAACTGGCATGAATAACGTTCATATGTACATCTGCGGGCCTGAATATAGTACACTGGTAGATGTACTGACCTGAATACATCACACATGTACATGTACTGGTCTGAATACAGTACATCTGTGCTGGTCTGAATACAGTACATCTGTGCTGGTCTGAATATAAAACATTTTTGCTTGCCTGAATACAGTACAAATGCAATGTTATATACATATTTCATGTAGGTATAGTTACCAGGATTTATCTTAGTGAAGGTATAGTTACCAGGATTTATCTTAGTGAAGGTATAGTTACCAGTATTTATCTTAGTGAAGGTATAGTTACCAGGATTTATCTTAGTGAAGGTATAGTTACCAGGATTTATCTTAGTGAAGGTATAGTTACCAGTATTTATCTTAGTGAAGGTATAGCTACCAGGATTTATCTTAGTGAAGGTATAGTTACCAGGATTTATCTTAGTGAAGGTATAGTTACCAGGATTTATCTTAGTGCAGGTATAGTTACCAGGATTTATCTTAGTGAAGGTATAGTTACCAGGATTTATCTTAGTGCAGGTATAGCTACCAGGATTTATCTTAGTGAAGGTATAGTTACCAGGATTTATCTTAGTGCAGGTATAGCTACCAGAATCTATCTTAGTGAAGGTATAGTTACCAGAATTTATCTTAGTGCAGGTATAGTTACCAGGATTTATCTTAGTGCAGGTATAGTTACCAGGATTTATCAGAGTGCAGGTATAGTTACCAGGATTTATCTGAGTGCAGATATACTTACCATAGGTATCTTTGTCTCACCTAGAGACAACATATATAAACAAGCCGTATAATGAACCGTTTCATCACGTGATATAAGTAATTTGAAGCTGAGATAATACTTCATCTCTACAGCAGACCAATTGTTATCAAGGAAGCTGAAAAGGAAAAAAGATAAACATATGTTTAATCCATCCATCTTGCGACCTCAAGTGTACAATATATGAATCATTATGTGTTATGTAATGAGACTTCAAAATGTTGACAAATTCTTCTTTAACAAGAAATAGAAATCTTCAGGATATTTACGTCTCATAAAAAATAAACAAAAGTGTAATCACAGCTGGACTATTGAAGTTTGAACACAGAAACAGAGAAATATCATACTTTCAGACTTCATAAAATCAGACTATTTGTCCAGTTTACAGGTTCCAATATGACGTCACGGTTGTATGTGTGACATCACCATGCGTCCAAGATCCTCTAATAAGAAGTCGAGTGACGATACTGATGAAAAGAATGTTACGTCACAGAAGTACTATGACACGCCCTTTAACAGGTACATTTGTAACATATATTGATTTATTTCCTTTTTTCATTTATCTATATTTCCATTTAACAGAGTATCGTATAGCTGATATATATAGTTGTAAGTATGAAGATTGTCTATGTGTTGTTTTGATACGTATACAGGGTTTCCAACACCGACGACTTATATTGACGCTTATGAATCATGACGTTATACAAATGTACACACAAATAAGGAAGTATGAAAGTAGAAAATGATCCAATTTAGAATTGATATACTTTGTGATATAGAGTTTTACACTTTTCGCTTGTAAACTACATTTTATGTCAGCGTAGTTGACGGCGTGATTCCTTTAAACGCGTCAACAATTCCAACTTAACTCCGTTGCTAAGGTACTTTCGAGTATAACTCTAGAAGTCTTGGATAGATTTCAACCAAATTTTGCACGAATGACCACTACACATCACAAGTGTTAATTCTGGCTTGCTAGACAATTTTCCTTGATTTTTAGAACATGACAATATTATATATTTCTCTCTCAAATCACGGGGTTTTAAAAAGTTAGAATAGTCATATAACCGATTGAAGCCCCCATTTTGTTTCTGTGCAGTGTTAGGCTCGTTAAATTAAATGAAAATTTGATACTTTCAGATTATTTTATCTAATTATATAACCACCATAAAGTATTGTTTAATTTGATTTTTAATTTTTAGAAAGGGCTATCTTGAATTAAAAAAAAAAAAAAAAACCTGAAATTGGATCATTTCTGGTTACATATACTCTGACGTGTGTATTTGGATTAAAAGTAAACATATCGATTTGTATTTGCTTTTAAATCACCCTGACAGTCATACATATTTAATCTTTTTATTCTCTGACTAAATGGTTGTTATCGCCACATGACATGGTTGTCGGTTGTTAAAACCGTACCAATGATGGTTAGACAGGACAATGGAGCGATAATTTTTTGCGAAGGACACATCAATCTTTCGAACGGAATTGATGCTGGTTCCACTTGAGGTAGAAAGGCGGTTGGATTCATGTCATTAGTTTGTCTCGTCAGCTTTTGTTTTTGTATCAGTTTACAATCTATTACTGTTTTTACTTATAAATTGGCTTTGCAGACATCAAATGGTTGCCTTTTTCTCTTTTGCACTTCTGCAGGTTTTTTTAGCATTTGCTCACCATAATCCACTCCTGAATAGCATCATGCCTGCACCCCAAACTAAGGTGTTGACAAGTCGCAATTGATTCGATATTCATTTACCAATTTCCAATATCACGATATGGGTGCAAGATGTCGTCAAATACCAGGCAAACTCATAAAAAATGGTTTCGAGATATGCAGTTTTACGGTCGTCATAATGATCTCATTGAGAAATATTTTGTTTCTTTGTGCAATATAAAGTTGCACGTAGTTGTCTATTAGTTCTGTTGTTGTATACCTTGTTCCTATTTGCAAACGTGATATTACTTACATGGATTGACAAAGATTACGTGGCGGGTGTCGTCGATGAAACAGAAGACGCTTACTCTTCCGGACCAGTTGTTTCATTTTACTTTTACAAGAGTCTTCATGCAAAATCTGTCATGTTTTGGTATTTTGCCCTTTTTCTATTGAATATGAATGTTTTCTTATCATTCTTTTATACTCACACTGTTATGTTGTAGGAACCTGTGGTTAGTGCTCCAGACTTTGGCAACTATAATTTTTCTGCTGTTGATGTCGGAACACACAAATACCTATTTTTCCTACTACACCGATATAAATGTCACCATGGTAACGGCGAAAGAACTCGAGTTCCCGGCAGTCACCATTTGTAACCTTAGTCCCTACAACAAATCTATTGCTATTGAAGAAAATGTTTTAACTGAATATCTACTCAGGACGAACACTTTAAGTTTCATGGAGACCACGCTGAATTATACTGACTCCAGGTCGGCAGGACACAAAAATAGATTTAGCACCAACTTTGTGGGACGCACTAACAACGAGCTCAAAAATTTCTTTGTAACATGTGTTCAAAAATGGCAGCTTATTTATTGTGATGATTTCTTTACACCGCGCATGACGGAACTTGGTATGTGTTTCACCTTCAACGGCCCAGACCGGAACTCCGTGATGACTAGCAGTACCGGTAATACGTCATCTCTTACAATGTATATAAAAGTGGAACGCGATCATTTCCTGTTTGATACTGAAAATGACATCAAGGTATGTTTTTTGTTTAGATTTTTGAGACAATTGATGATTATAAAATTTGAATCTAAGGTTATAGGGCAAAATTGTATTTTTTCTTTGTTTGTTAGTTTATTCTTATTTTTTAGGTCGTGCTTCATGATAAGTTTGAGGAACCTAATGTTCGGAAAAGGGGTTTCTTAGCTGTTCCAGGCTATACCACATATGCTGGAGTGACCAGTGAAAAGGTAACATGTGTAGTACGGTTCATGGTGTCCAAGCGATATATTTCATTTGAAAGAGGCTATAAATCATAACTGGATGGTTGGATGGCGCAGTACCACGTGTGTCTTCCCCGGGTACTCCGGTTTCCTCCCACAGTAAGAATAAACGCGCTTATATCGAACAGAGTGATTTATCAAATGACCTACGTGATCAGCATTGAATTATTAAATTGTTTACGGGGTCATCATTAATTTATTAATTGACCTACGGGATCATTGTTCATTCATTTAATGACCTACGGGATAATCATTAGTTGATTAAACGACCTTCGGGATCATCATTAATTTGTTAAATGACCAACGCGATCATCTTTAATTGATTTAACGACATACGGAATCATCGTTTATCACGCATTTTCACTTGTAGGTGCAATAATTTTCTTAGTGTGTCAGTAATTTCGTGGTTTTAAAATATAACTTTTCGTGGCCATTTTTTTTTCACTAGCCATTTTGACAAAATCGATTTATATTAAACATTAATGTTTAAAGTCCATCGATCATTAATAGGAGAACGAAGCAATGATAACAAAACTTAATGCGACAATTACAATGGTCGTTTATACATTATTTGTCCATTATAATCGTTAGTTTCGCTTTACTGCAGTACAAGTACTTAGGTCGGCCCTACCGAAGTCTACCAAGGGAGGAAACTTACTGTGTAGACACCAGCCAGCCATCGTTCTCCAGTCCCCTGGAGTTTTACAGGCAATACAGCTACTCAGCCTGCCTGATGGAGTGTCGACAGAATTACACAACACGGCAGTGTAAATGTCGCAGTCACACAGATCCGGGTAAGTCGGCGTATACAGAGTTTCCATACAGAGGAAATAAAACTACTATGTCACGTATATGAATTGGGTTGTTAAATCCGGTATGTTATTTGACTTATCTGTTCGAATATAATAACTCTACAAAATTGTTCAACAGACGTAATTTATGAATATGATTTCAAGACAGATAACGTGTTTTTTTTTTTTTTTTTTTTGTAACGAAATAAAGGAATGCTTTCCTTTATTTTCTGTGTTATATTGAAGCGAACGTTCAACATTATATATTTTTGTTTCATAATAGTCATTGTTGACAAAATATGGAAGTCGTTTTTAATGGGTTTTTTATTATTTTATTTATTTCGTTTTTATTTTCTATCTGATTTTTTTAAAATTTATTTTCATCTTTAAATATTTATTTTCGATGTGTGTTACAAAATTGTATTTTCATCGAACAGGTAACGACACGATATGTACTCCTATGCAGTTCGTTTCCTGTTACAAACCAAAAGCATGTAAGTTCCACATGTTAAGCCTGAAACATTAGCTGTACATACTTCTATCACATACAGGTATATCTTTTTTTCTATTAAGGTTTTATGTTATGGTGTCCAAATCTATACAAACAGTCTTATGGAAGAGATTGAGTTGGAAAATAGTCAGAAGAACGGAGGCAAAAATGAATGTCGAACACTAATGTGTCAATAACTTATCTGTCCATGATATATGCGATTCATTATTAATGTGTACAAACCCCTAACAACAATAATTTTACTATGAGACTTTCTAAATAACAAAATTGTCTTCTAAACGCAATACAACATTTTATACAACAAAATTTATTCCTAAACAAGATACAACATTCTAAATAACAAAGTTTACTTCTAAACACGGTACATTATTCTAAACATCAAAGTTTACTTCTAAACAGGATACAAGATTCTAAACAACAAAGTTTACTTCTGAACACGATACAACATTCTAAACCAAAACGTTAACTCTTACTATCGATACAACATTCTTAAAAAACAAAGTTTACTCTTAAACACGATTCTATATTCTAAACAACAAAATTTACTTTTATACCCAATACAAAATTCTAAACACCAAATTTACTCTACAACACAATACAAAATTCTAAATAACACGGTTTACTCTTAAACACGATACAACATATTTTACCAACAAAATTTGCCCTTAAACACAATACAGAATTCTAAACAACAAAATTTACTCTTAAACTCGATACAACTTTCTAGATAACGAAATTTACTTCAATACAAAATACGGCAATTAAAAAACTAAGTTTTACTCATAAACACGATACAACATTCTCAACAACAAAGTTTACTCTTAAATACATAATACCTTTCTAAACAAAACAAAATCACTTAAACTCGATAAGACATTCTAAACAACAAAGTTTACTTCTTAACAAGATACATTATTCTTGAGGAGGAAGAACCCATTGAAACAGGCTAGATTAGACTTTTTTTGATATCAGATAATTTACTATCCAGTGTAACTAGTGCAACTATTGAACCAGGATACAGGTCAGATCACTCATTTCCTTTACTTAATTTGAAATTTAATGAATTTAAACGAGGAAAGGGTCTGTGGAAATTTAATTCCTCTTTGCTGTATGACGAGGTGTATCTTGATTTGGTTAAAAATGTTATTCTACAGACAAAAATGCAGTATTGTCTACCTGTTTACAATAAGGATAATATAATCAATATTCCAGATACTGAGATTCAATTTTCAATTGATGATCAACTTTTTTTTGAAACATTGTTAATGTAAATTAGGGGAAAGAGCATATCCTACTCATCCTTTAAAAAGAAACAGCAAAATAGAAATGAAAACATTATTAGAAATGAGATACAAAACTTGGAGGACCAAGAGCAGGTTGATATTGAAGAATTAGAACGTAAGAAAAAAGAATTAGAAAATATTAGAGTTAACAAGATTAAAGGCAATGTTATAAGATCTAGGGCACAATGGCATGAAGAGGGGGAAAAACCAACTAAATATTTTTTAAATTTAGAAAATAGGAATTTTAAAAAATAATACCAAAGATAGAGAAAGAAAATGTCATAATATCACAGCAGGAAGATATTCTTGAGGAGGTATGTTCTTTTTATGAAAAACTATATGATGACAGATATGAGACAGATGATGTTGATTTGATTGAACTTTTGGATGGATGTGATGTTCCAACATTAAAAAATAATGAGGCTGAAAATTTAGAAGGTCTAATTACTATAGAGGAAGCAACAAAAAATTTGAAAAACATGAAGAATAACAAAAGTCCAGGTACAGATGATTTTACTGTTGAATTTTTTAAATGTTTTTGGAAACAGCTAGGAGTTTTTATTGTCAGATCTATTAACTATGGATATAGTAAAGGTTTGTTATCGATAACACAAAGACAATGTGTCATTACTTGTATTCCCAAGGGTGATAAGCCCAGACAGTTTTTAAAAAAATGGCGACCTATAACATTATTAAATATAGTTTATAAGATAGCCTCAGGATGCATAGCATGTAGGATTAGAACAGTTTTAGATAAGTTAATTTGTGAGGATCAAACAGGATTTCTTTCAGGTCGCTATATTGGAGAAAATATTAGACTTGTTTATGATATTATGCAATATGCAGACGAAAGCTATATCCCAGGTATGTTATTAATGTTAGATTTTGAGAAAGCGTTTGACTCAGTATCATGGAAATTTATTGATAATGTTTTGAATTATTTTAATTTTGGTTCTGATATTCGAAATTGGGTTATATTGTTTCACACTAACATTACTGCAACTGTAAATCAGGGGGGAACTTATCTTCTTTTGTAAATATCAAAAGAGGCTGTCGTCAAGGCGACCCAATTGCACCATACCTTTTCATACTATTTGTTGAAATACTAGGAATTAGACTTAGAAATAACAATAAGATTAAGGGTATCAATGTGAATAACTGTCCAATTCTCCTTTCTCAGTATGCAGATGACACTTCACTTATTCTAGATGGTTCTGAAATGTCTTTAAAAGAATCTATTGTCGAATTGAAATATTTTGCGAAGATACCTGGTTTAAATCTCAATGTTGATAAAACTCAAGTTATTTGGATAGGGAGCAAAAGTTACAGTGAAGATACATTTTTACCTGAATTAGGCTTACAATGGGGAAAAAATAAATTTAAACTGCTTGGAATAGATTTTAGTGTTAATTTACATGAGATCCCAAAATTAAATTTTGATAAAAAGCTAATTAAACTTAAAATGCTTGTTAAAACTTGGAGTAGACGAGCACTTACACCAATTGGTAAAATAGTCTCGATAAAATCTCTTCTTCTTTCACAATTTAACCATTTATTTATTTCCTTACCTAACCCTGATGAAAAGTTTTTACAAGATCTCAATACAGTTTTATTCAACTTTTTGTGGAATAGTAAGGTGGATAAAATAAAGAGAGATATTATCACGCAGAATTATTATGAGGGGGGTCTGAAAATGGTTAATGTTAGGGTATTTATAGATTCTTTAAAATTAGGTTGGATAAGAAGGTTATATAAAAAAACATCAAAGTGGCAACATATTTTCAAAACATTCTCAGACCCACACAAATTATTTATATGTGGTGGTGCCTATATTCAAGAATGTAAAAATAAATGCAAAAATAAATTTTGGAAGGATGTGTTTAAAGCCTGGGAAAGATTTAATGATTCAGATACAGTAAAGGAAAGAAAGAAAAACTCCATATTGACATTGCCATTATGGTATAACAGAGATTTACTTATTGGGAAAAAGACTATTTTTTATAAATTGTGGTACAAGAGGGGAGTAACAATAATTTATGATTTGATAAAAGATATTGATACATGCTCGTTCTACACTCTTCAAGAATTTAATGAGATTTATCAAGTTAATACAAACTTTCTTCAATATAATGGTGTGATCTCTGCTATTAAATCATATGTAACAAAGATAGGCTATAGAAGGCAGTTAATCTTTCACCCTATCATCCCAAGTAACATATTTTTTTTCGTGAAAAATACAAAAGGGACTAAGGATCTATATAATTTTATGGTTAAAAAATGTACTGTATCTATAGGTAGGAAGAAGTGGGAAGACATATTTGAAGATATTGAGTTGACCTGGTCTGATATTTATAAAACTCCATTTAAGGTTACAAAGAATACAAAGCTACAGTGGTTTCAATACAGAATAGTGCAACATATTTTAACAACAAATACATATTTGTTTAAAGCTGGATTAGCAAATAGTCCTATCTGTCCTCTCTGCAACTTGGAGAGAGAGACAATAATTCATACTTTGTAGGAATGTCGAGAAACTCAGAAATGTTTGGTTAATGTTGAAACTCTTCTTGATGCACTATTTATTCCATTTTCTTTTAACAAGAAAAGCTTTATTTTTGGGGTAACTTCAGATTATGACAATGCTATGGGAAACTCAGCAGATAATGAAATTCTGATCATGATTAAGTTATATATATATATATAAATCAAGATGTATACATAAAATCTTAAATCCAAATATTCTGATAAACTCAATCAAAGAGTATTACACATTTCAAAAATATATTGCTAACAGCAAAGGTGATCTTGCACAGCAGAATTTAGAAAATAAATGGAGAAAATGGAGAAGATTGTTAGACTTAAGTGATATTTAAGCTTTAATTGGTATTGATATTATTAGCCATCAATTTTTCTTACACTCATGAAATATTAGTTCTCTTTCTTAAATATATACATATATATATATCATTATATCTCTACGCAGACAATTTTCCCTTTTTAATGATTGGTGAATTCACTTAGGTATTTTTTTTTTAAGAACATCTATGAAAAAGGAAATATTTCTCTCTACTTACATATATTTTAGTTTCATCTGTAGCCCAGTCATCTCTCTCTCTCTCTCTCTCTCTCTCTCTCTCTCTCTCTCTCTCTCTCTCTCTCTCTCTTGACTTAATATTGACTGACTTAATTTATTGGATTTCTTTTTGTTTTTGCAGAGAACATGAAATGCGTGTGTGATGATGTGAGTGATACATGTACAAAGGTATGCATGTCTATATGTATGTCTATATGTTGGTAGAAATAGCGGATGTTGATGAAAATGCTGATGATGATATTTTTGATGATGATGATGATGATGATGATGATGATGATGAGGTTGATGATGGTTTATGATGAGGATGTTGTTATTTAATGAGATACAGATGATGACGATGGTTGATGATGATGAGGATGAGGATGATGATGATGATGATGTATGGGAAAGTGTGTTGCACATGTAGATGTCAATATCTGTAAAAAAAATATGAAACTTTTCAAAAATAAAAGAAAAAAAAAGTTTACTTCTAAACAAGATACATTATTCTAAACATCAAAGTTTACTTCTAAACAAGATACATTATTCTAAACATCAAAGTTTACTTCTAAACATGATACATTATTCTAAACATCAAAGTTTACTTCTAAACATGATACATTATTCTAAACATCAAAATTTACTTCTAAACACGATACAACATTCTAAACATCAAAGTTTACTTCTCAGCCATGATACACGATGCAACATTATACATTACCAAGTTTACTTTGAAACACAATAAGGCATGTATTGTATGTGCATTGTTCATTTGATTTGAAGCTACCTATCTACGTTTTGTGTTGATATTCAGGTGTGAAGGTACCTGTTATGCATTGTGCATTCATTGCTCACGTTTCAGATTATTTTGAGATGAAGCTACAGCACACGTGCAGGTGTCCATTTCGGTGTGAGAGTATGTCTTATACTGCGAATGTATCGATTGTAGAGTTCTCATCTGATCACAGCGCTGACATGCTTCGCAACAAAGGCTTTTCAAATCTCAGGTACTAAACGTTTATCGGTTTTGTTTACCGTTGATAGAAAAATAAATGTTGATGAAAGGTATGGGTGTAATATCATGTGTAGTTGAAATTCTCTATGATTGATTAATAAACTTAACCCATGTATAATCAGTCATTTTTTATGTTCATGTATAATGTTATTGTTTGGCACAGGGAGTATGCCGAGATCCGGATCTACTTTAACGATTTAAACTACACATTAGTGGAACAAGTACCCGAAATGCTGGCAAAAGATTATTTTTGTAAGTCTTTTTATGTCATTATCTCAAAAATCACATCAATTTTTCATGCTATTATCTCAACCGCTTAAGATATTAGGCGTGACGTGTTGATGACGTCACCCGCATCACAATTGACCAGTGTGAAGCATGTTGGTGATATTTCATACATAAGATTATTTTTCACGAAGTGATATGACAAATAAGACTGTAAATTTGCCTCCGTTTGTTCTTTTTATGTTCCCGCTTTGTCCTTCCGTCATAATTTTGTCTGTAGCATATTACAAATACTCAGAGATATCAACATAAAACTTAATAGGTAGGTAGATCTCAACAAGGAGAAGTGCAGTACACAAGAACCATCACTCTCTTTTGCATAATTGAGGAGTTATTGCCCTTTGTTATTTTTCAGACTTAAATTTTGTTCAGAACGTAACACAAAAGCTATAAGAGATATCAACATGAAACTTCAAGTGTTTATTCTGGGAACATCGATCGGTCTTGCCGATTCTCTTGTTCATCTATAATTCTTGTTGAATGTTCTAAATACGATGTTACTATTCGTTTTTTTACATTTCTCACAATGATACTAGACGTTTTACGTTTTGAAATTTTGCTCTCTATTTTTTTCAGACGGCGTGGTATGTATTGTGGCTTTATACACCTTTGTGACCTTAATCACTCTACTAAAAGTCCTCTCTTTTATCATTGACTTCTGCCTCAACATAGCCTTCACAATCTTCGAGGTTTTGTACGTAATCATCGACAGTTGTCTGGAATAAGATGAACTTTTTACCTGTGATGATAAACAATGGTGGTATTGTTGTGAGCACCATACATAAGGGCCTTCAGGACCGACTCATTTTAAGAACAAATACAGTATTGTGTCTTATTGTGTCTTATATACACAAAACATAACGGCTTAAATGAATACTTGTTATCTCGAAGATGGCCGCTGAGTTTGAGGTAACACCTGTGTTTTATCCATTTTAGAAGTGTATCTTTTTTTTACAAAATATGTCTGTGTACTTGTCTTGAAATCATGTAATTAATTTTATCTGTCACGTCATACAAGAATGAACGTTTTCACAATTTTGACTGTATATGCATGATGTTTAAGTCATTTGTCCATATGTCTTTACTTATGGTACTTTTACCATGCTTGATCTTAAATAACAAAGACAATTTTTATAGTATCTGTAAACAAAAAATTTCATATTTAAATTTTTAGTACACCTGTGACCATTGTTCCGTGAGTGATTTGGGCGATAGAGAACGCGGTTCAAAATACACACACGTACTGGACGATATGTGAAAATTACGAAATTTACTCGATGCTATTGCACCACCCCATCTAGATTTTGACTTTTCTTTCGATCGCTTTGGATTTTTCTCACTCACCTCCCAGGCTTCAAACTTTAGGCCCTTAGTATCACTGACGAGCCCTAGTTTGATTGTTATTTAATGCCTGTTAGTGTTAGTATATCCTTTTTATTATGTTAAATGTTATTGTGATCATTTCAATCAGTGTCACCTGTCAATTAAATATTACTATGATCTTTAAAAAAACACATGAAATAATATAAGAACAGTTTAAGTCAAGTGTTTTTATACAAACATCAACGAAGTTAGATGATCAGTAGAAATCAGATTGTATGTCCATTTGTCCGTATTTTGTCCTCTCTTTTCAATTATATGTCCATCTGTAGTGTTGATTAAAAGTCTTGGCTCTTCCTAGCCTGTTTCCTAACGTATCAACTGATTTTTTACTATATTTTTTCTATCATATAACACCTCTATGATAAATGTACGTCGTCCTTAAAAGATATGACAGAGGTAATTAACTACTTCAATGCCTCCGCTAGGATTCGAACCCTAGACCTCTGGCGCTCAGCCAATCGAGCTAAGGAGAAGTTCTCTCTAGCTGAGCGGTATATTGCGGCTAGAATTTACCAGCGTTACAGGAAATTTATAATGATTCTGACGTCTAATCCAGTACATCCGGACCTAATTCTTGTTATCTAGCTGGTATATATACTGAAGGAAAGGTAATATTTCACAAACAAGGGACAGTGTCAGCGATGATGTTTGCTGATTTCATCATAAATAACTCCTTAATTTTAACCCTAATTTTCCTTTATTGAACTATCATTATCATCATTTGTATCTACAAACATTGTTATTCGTCAACAAATATTTTCAATATATACTTTTTTTCCTTTTTCTGACGATATCATATGAGAACGCTCAATTTATTCAAACTTATGTGGTATAGTGTATGTCATTTTGACTTAATGTTGTATCTATGGTTTACTACCGGGATTCAGAATACACGATAATACGCCAATATTTCGTCATATACAAAGTGGATGACATTTTGACTTGCCTTTCGATGGTGTCTTTTACAAGTCCCGCTTTCAATGGAGATGTCTTTCCTTTCTTTTAGTCTCAAATGGGAGAGATGGTATTTCCTTTACAGCAGTTCTGTGTCTGTTATAAGCTCAGTTATCCATAGAAATAAGACCGAGAGAAAAACTTTTATTAAGAGAAAAAAATCGATCGATAATACTTCATAAACGGATGGGGGTCAAATATGTACGTCATTATCAATGGCTTATCAGCTATTCCGGGCAAAGGGAAGTAAGTCGTTTACAAAAAACCAAAACCTTACTGATAAATTTACACCTTGAGTACATACTTGTATTGTCAGAACAGAAAAACCGTGCTTTTATTAATACAAAACAATTCTATTTTTGTGTAGTTTTGGACAAACATTTTTTCAATAAATGTCGATGTAAAAGTATGAAAACGTCTATACTTTTTCTCAATCGTCCAATATACAAATCAATATAAACATCGCGTACTCAGGGGCGTAGCTTCCATAGAAAGCCCGGGCTTACACATCAAAAATCCGTGCGTAGAGTATGTCGGACAAAATTACAAAACTAAGGTTGAAAATAAATATCAGGGGTTGAAGTTTGTTGTTAAAAAAACTGTCTCAGAAAACGATTCAAAACATCTTTGAAATCATGAAATTCAGACCCCTTCGCCTGGGCTTACACATTTCTGCTGAGCTAGCTACGCCCCTGGTACGGTAACCACATCGATTTGTACGTGTGGTGATATTGACTGATAATACATACATTCAAAACAAACAAAAAAAAACAAACAAATAAACATAAAGCAATCTTTAAAATAAATAACTGGACACGGGATGCTTCATTTCACACCAACAAATTTTATTGTGTTTGAAAATAAACCGGAATAAGACACAAGACAAAAGAAATGTCTTTTGCTCCGTTAAAGAAACCCCCGTGTACATAAAGGTAAAACACACATAGTGCCTTGTCATTACAGTAAGGAATATGGTAAACACCAGTCATTTTATCGACCAACAAACACTTAAGTCAAACATGTAGCATCAGTTCGGATCTCCACACTAATCGATCCAGACACCATTAGTTGACATGAATGATAATGATGTGCCTATTTAGTATGACTAAATACGGCGATACCTTACGGTCCCTATTGTGTTGTCCGACATTGTTCAGTGCCGAGACGATCAATATCTCACTCACATGTATATATGAACCAAACAAACTTTACATATACTTTTTACCGTCTTGGCCAATATTCCTTTGTTCTACGACATGTAAACTAACGATATTTCGCGTACCTTCACTGGTCAACGAGAAAGTGTATATTTATTTAGATAATTAGATTAATTAATCAATAGTTTGATGTCCAATGTGGACGGTTTTATAGACTTAATAATATTTAACAAAAGCCTTATCAATAACTATCAATAATATACACAGAAAACAAATGGTATCTAATTAAGTTAGTTTGAAATATACTAAAGATTATTCAAATTCTGTGGAAAACTAGAAATATGGAATTTTATTAAGTTAACATACAGGGGTTACATTTCACTTCATGTTGACTAAAAATGTACTTTACAACATAAGGGCAGATTTATGTTCCATTTATAGAAATTCTAAGGATGGATGACAATTTTTCTCAGATATTCAATATTTCCAACATACTTATCTAAAATGCTTTTCGATTTTGACCGTTATATCTTCAGATAAGTATTTCTAGAAATACTATGTGACAAAATGCAGTATATAAATACCATTTTTTATATTTATAAGTTTATATAGGTATATATATCATTACATTTATCTACATGAAAGACATCGGGCTTAACAGACAATTATCATAACGAGGCATCTATCATGGGATTCGATTATCGTGATGCGTGATCACAATAGTCCACATTCCGAGCATCTCTACCTCGCATACAAGTGCACATGATGTGACCTGGTATCAAAAGCTTAGAAACAGATAAACAGTGATGTCATTACTAAATAGCAAAGAATTACGTCATATTCTACAATTAGAATCAGATTAACAGCAGGAGTGACGTCATCACTCAATAACTCAACCAGTAGAAAATTAGATTATGACGTTTCGATAACTACACGGTCATCGTCATCAGACAAATAACCAGTGTGGAAAATACTGACGTACAGTGTGTACACGGTCATCGTCATCAGACAAATAACCAGTGTGGAACGTACTAGTACTGACGTACGTAGTGTACGAGATCTACACAGTCACCTTCATCAGACAAATGACCAGTGTGGAACGTACTAGTACTGACGTACGTAGTGTACGAGATCTACACAGTCACCTTCATCAGACAAATGACCAGTGTGGAACGTACTGGTACTGACGTACGTAGTGTACAGGATAGTAAGGATACGACCAACTGCTTTGAGTGTTGTACTATAATCCTACATATATGAGATCATTATAGTAAAGAAGTAAACATGGCAAAAGACGGTAGCATTGTATTAGAGTCGATTCGGTTTTCCTCCGTGTAGCAGTTGGCCGTAAGGTTAAGGGTGTGCGAGATTTCCGTCCCCTCACCCTCCCTGTTTAGTGTTGGCCCGTTGCGGTCTACCTTTAATTCCCACCCTGTTTAGTGTTGGCCCGTTGCGGTTTACCTTTAATTCCCTCCCTGTTTAGTGTTGGCCCGTTGCGGTCTACCTTTAATTCCCACCCTGTTTAGTGTTGGCCCGTTGCGGTTTACCTTTAATTCCCTCCCTGTTTAGTGTTGGCCCGCTGCTGTCTACCTTTAATCCCCTCCCTGTTTAGTGTTGGCCCGCTGCGGTCTACCTTTAATCCCCTCCCTGTTTAGTGTTGGCCCGCTGCTGTCTACCTTTAATCCCATCCTGTTTAGTATTTGCCCGCTGCGGTCTACCTTTAATCCCTCCCTGTTTAGTGTTGGCCCGCTGCTGTCTACCTTTAATCCCTCCCTGTTTAGTATTGGCCCGCTGCTGTCTACCTTTAATCCCTCCCTGTTTAGTATTGGCCCGCTGCTGTCTACCTTTAATCCCTCCCTGTTTAGTATTGGCCCGCTGCTGTCTACCTTTAATCCCTCCCTGTTTAGTGTTGGCCCGCTGCTGTCTACCTTTAATCCCTCCCTGTTTAGTATTGGTCCGCTGCGGTCTACCTTTAATCCCTCCCTGTTTAGTATTGGCCCGCTGCTGTCTATTTTTAATCCTCTCCCGATTTAGTATTTGCCCGCTGCGGTCTACCTTTAATCCACTTCCTGTTAAGTTCTGCCCCGCTGCGATCTACCTTTAATCCTCTCCCGGTTTAGTATTTGCCCGCGGCAGTCTACCTTTAATCCACTCCCTGTTTGGTACTGGCCCGCTGCGGTCTACGTTTAATCCCCTCCCTGTTTAGTATTGACCCGATGCGGTCTACCTTTAATCCCTTTCCTGTGTAGTATTGGCCTGCGACGGTCTACCTTTTTTCGAGCTGATTTGCTCTAATCCTATTGTCTATTATATTGTCGAATCCAATTAACAATTCCCGTTTACCCTAATTTAAATATCTCTCACCGAATGTAAAAGGCAGTGTCTGTAACACTTTGTTGATTTATATACATATATCTCTCATCCAGGGTACTGGCATATGTTTCGGGAATCGTCTTGTAAGGCGTCTTGTTCTTTGGCTCACTTTGTAAAACCTAAAACATGATAAAACAATACATCTGGTTGATGGATACGTTATATAACACGGGAAATTATTTATATAATTATAGAATAATTTATCAACAGCAAAAGACAAACAAACAACTTCCAAAAGACTCCTGTGTAAATCCAGGTTTTGTTCAAACTATAAACAGATCAGGTATAATGTAACAGAATGTGGATACCAACGGTGCGGTACTTGTGAATATATAGTGGAAGGATAAACACACCACTTCAGAGGAATAAAATTCTCAGTGAATGCGTATGTGTCATGCTCATCTAAACACCTAATATACTGTATATTATGCCTCGGTTGCGACGAATATCACATCGCAAAAACTGGCACAACACTACGGGCACGCATTCGAGTCCACCAACAGCACCTCATCTCTCCAGAATACAGAAAAATAAAACTAAGTGAACATTTAGACATTTTCGGAAAGAAAACATTTAAAATCTTTCCTTTCTACAAATTCTATTCGGAGAATCCCATTGAAAGAAAAGGAATGTATTTTATTAGAACTTTTAAACCCAAACTAAACAGTATTGTCTAAGAATCATATAAACTACGTAATGATATCCCGTTCAGTTATGACGTCATATAATCAGTCTTCTTATTACTTCACAGACACTGTATCTGGGCAATTAATTAAGCATCATGAAGATTCAGGAATGAAAAGCGCTAATGCTTAATCTGGCGTGTTATTTGAAGTTATTCTTATATAAACAAATACATATAATGATTAGTGGTAAGTCAGAACACTTGCATGTCATTCTTTACGAAATAAATGGCCTTATCAGTCCAGGTGATGGCAGTGTTGGGGGAGTTCGGCACACCTTTCCAGAACTGGGTGATGTCGTACTGCTTACGCCCTATGACGTCATCATTATGTATACTCCATTCCCAGAATTTCGTTTTCTGTAATATATGCATATCATCCTTAAACAGCGACTTAAACATCATTTGTTTCTTCAGTTTATATAAGACAATTAGTAACAGTGAATACCAAATTGTTCATCATATTTGAAAACAAGAGTAAAGATGAAAGTGATGAATGCTTTCCAAAAAAAAAAGAAAGAAAAAGAAAAAAAAATCATGATTGGAAACAATTTTTTAACTAAAGGAACTGTGTGATACAGGAGTTTCGGGCCCTGAATTATGTAAAATGTATTACTACCATAACCAAGTTTCATCATCCTAGTTTGAATGTAAGCAAAGTAATGCTCCGGATACGGAGGAAAAGACGACTATATGTGTTCCCTAAAAATTCGGGGAGCACAGAAATACAGACATATAAGCAGAATCATTATTCTAACACAAAATTGACAAAGATCTGACAAAATAAGAAGAAAAAAAAAAGATTTACACGTCGACTCCTAAAACGGGAATGAGATCAGGAAAACTGTCGTCTGCTTCACAGATGCCACGCGCCATGTTAATCTTTTGTATGAACGACTTGTTTTATGTATGAATACATTCTGAAAACAAGTGATGTTCAGTCGCTATGTCCAATTGTTCATTCCGAATAGGTCTGAGGTAAACTTTGATTCCAATTTGTGCCTGTCATATTCATCGATTCATCTGTTTTAAACGGTTGAACCAGTTAAATGTAAGCAATCGGGTTATTTCGTTTTTTTTCTCTCTGTCAAAAAAGAACCAAAACTTACACCAAAAAGATATATCCGCCGACTCCTGTATCCTTCCATCTTTATCGCGGCTCGAGGATATTCGCCTTTCTCGTGGGTTGATATCTTCTTCGGGAAACCGTAATCCAATCTGTGTTTAGTGTAGCGCCAAACGTGGCTACCTGTTCATTTAGATAGAAATGATATCATGTGTAAAGTAAAACAGTGAAAGTTGTCATATAATTGATACGTGACTTCAAAGCTACAACACACCGAAACAACAAAGTTAAAGTCGTCAACACACACAAAAGACACAAAACATCTGAACCTCATAACTATGCGTCAACACACACAAAAGACACAAAACATCTGAACCTCATAACTTAGCGTCAACACACACAAAAGACACAAAACATCTGAACCTCATAGCGTGGCGTCAGCACACACAAGACACAAAACATCTGAACCTCATAACTAAGCGTCAACACACACAAAAGACACAAAACGTCTGAACCTCATAACTTAGCGTCAACACACACAAAAGACACAGAACATATGAACCTCATAGCTTGGCGTCAACACACACAAGACACAAAACATCTGAACCTCATAACTAAGCGTCAACACACACAAAAGACACAAAACGTCTGAACCTCAAAACTAAGCGTCAACACACACAAAAGACACAAAACATCTGAACCTCATAACTTAGCGTCAACACACACAAAAGACACAAAACATCTGAACCTCATAACTAAGCGTCAACAAACACAAAAGACACAAAACATACGTACCTCATAACTAAGCGTCAACACACACAAAAGACACAAAACATCTGAACCTCATAACTAAGCGTCAACACACACAAATGACACAAAACATCTGAACCTCATAACTATGCGTCAACACACACAAAAGACACAAAACATCTGAACCTCATAACTTAGCGTCAAAACACACAAGTGGCACAAAACATACGTACCTCATAACTTATCGTCAACACGCACAAAAGACACAAAACATCTGAACCTCATAACTTAGCGTCAACACACACAAAAGACACAAAACACAAGTACCTCATAGCTTGGCGTCAACACACACAAGACACAAAACATACGTACCTCATAACTTATCGTCAACACACACAAAAGACACAAAACTTCTGAGCCTCATAACTAAGCGTCAACACACACAAAAGACACAAAACGTCTGAACCTCATAACTAAGCGTCAACACACACAAAAGACACAAAACATCTGAACCTCATAACTTAGCGTCAACACACACAAAAGACACAAAACATCTGAACCTCATAACTATGCATCAACACACACAAAAGACACAAAACATCTGAACCTCATAACTTAGCGTCAACACACACAAAAGACACAAAACATCTGAACCTCATAACTAAGCGTCAACACACACAAAAGACACAAAACATCTGAACCTCATAACTTAGCGTCAAAACACACAAGTGGCACAAAACATACGTACCTCATAACTTATCGTCAACACACACAAAAGACACAAAACATCTGAACCTCATAACTTAGCGTCAACACACACAAAAGACACAAAACAAAAGTACCTCATAGCTTGGCGTCAACACACACAAGACACAAAACATACGTACCTCATAACTTATCGTCAACACACACAAAAGACACAAAACATCTGAACCTCATAACTTAGCGTCAACACACACAAAAGGCACAAAACATCTGAACCGCATAACTTAGCGTCAACACACACAAAAGACACAAAACATCTGAACCTCATAACTTAGCGTCAAAACACACAAGTGGCACAAAACATACGTACCTCATAACTTATCGTCAACACACACAAAAGACACAAAACACAAGTACCTCATAGCTTGGCGTCAACACACACAAGACACAAAACATACGTACCTCATAACTTATCGTCAACACTCAAAAGACACTGCACATATTAGTAAAACATATATATACCTTATGGACAAAGTTTCAAAGTGAAAATTCCCACAAACAAAATACCTTAAAGAATAAACACACAGGATTATTCAAATTTTTAACAACACAGAATCATAAACATATGTTCCACAATACCAAAGAAAATTGCGACATGCAAATCGAATCTTGATTCAAACTCGATAAAATGAAGGCAAAATGAATGATTGTGTGCGATTCAATATGAAGTTCAATGTTCTTTCTAGAGTCTTACCTTTAAATAAATAAAGCCTTCCTTTTAAGTAAGTTGCCGCTCCCACCGGGATAGGCGCGTGAGGATAAATTGACCTCAACGCTGAGGACCTCCGGGATCCAGACTTCCTGTCGCTTTGGAATAAGGTATCGTTAGCTATGACACTTACGTAACCGTCGCTTCCTGTAAACAACAAGGAAAATAACTCTTTTACAATAGGTAGTCTTCAAAAAAGTAGTAGTTCTAATAACATAACCAGTAAAAAAATAAACTTTTTCGGCTGTACTATAATCCTATGTGCACTAATTCATAATTTGCCATAGTTTCACTGAACTCGAGCTTTTTAGTATTTTTTTTTTTTTTTTTTATTTGCGACAAATATACATAGACGTGTATATTGCAATTTATTGTGTGTATACCAACCGATAAACGTAGCGTCTACATCCTGGCAATGCGGTAGTTTCGTGAGCCTCGGCCGTCTCGGTGAGTCAGTCGTCGTTCTAGGTATGTTGCGGTACCATGGTTTGGGTGTTGTGTTTTCAGTGAGGATGTTTGTGTTTTTTATCGTCACTGAATTAGGTTGAATCCGTGGCTTTGAACCTGACAACAATAATTAACTATGATACAGACACTACAGGTAGTTGCTCACTGTAGAAAAACATAACTCGGTTTGAATTCCGATTGCTAGACTTGTTTGTGCCAGATAAATTGTTTATATTGGCCAAAGTAAAAGCGCACTTGATTCCTACTTCATCTATTTGAAATTATCCCGACATCATAACGACAAACATTAAGTAAATACCATATTTCAATGCAAATCTATATTTAGACATAGTATAGCCAAATCTTTTTAGTTTACCAATTAAACACGACGTTGAAAGACAAGTACATGTTTATATGTATAAATTGAACCGTGCAATGATTAACAAAAGTGGGAATCCAACGGTGCCCCTCTTCTTCACTTAGAATCGTCACTTCCATTTTACCATAGATAGTTTGAGCCGCTCTGATATCGCTCTCAGTCAGTTCCGTCCGACTGGCCGCAAAGAATGGTGACATGATACTGTCGTAGTCCGCGGAATGTTCAAGTCCGATGGCGTGTCCGAACTCGTGAGTGGCGACAGCAAGGAGGTCGGGATGAGTAGAGTTTCCTTTTCCTTCCTGACTCCAGTCTTCGTCATCGTCGAAGTGAGTATCACCGGACAGGGGTTGGTTCCCGGGTCGGAAAGCATGCGCCAACGTCATTCCTGAAAAAAAAACCAAGAGGTGTCAATCAAACAATATTCCCCGGGTTGCAAATAAATTCTGAAGTGGGATATCAAACCTATACCGTTAAGGCATATTGTGTTAATTGCATGCACACTTTGTGAAACACTTATGACTTTATTATGCAATAGATTAGGCCAAAGCTTTCAAATGCAGATCGAATGTCATGGTCGAAAATGTTGCTACTACCAGAAAGGTCTTGTCCTAAGGAACACACAGACCAAACATGAAAGCCATACATCTTACGAAGCAATGGCTTTGGGCAAGGTTAAAGCTGAAAACAAACATACATACAGACAAACAGACAGACAGATAGACAGCACAAAAGCAATATATACCTGATCTTTCGATACGGGACATGAAACTGAAGCTAAAACATGTGAATTCATACCGTTTTGATAATTAGACATTTTCACTAAATACACACAGAAGCAAGGCATCGCAAGCAATACCAATCCCTAATAGATCCACACTGACTTAAGGGCGATAAAGAAAAAAGTCAATTGTCTGAAGTTTAATCAAACTCCAGGATATGACCACACAGGAGATTTGACAAGGACCAAGGAATTACCAAACAGGAGATTTGACAAGGACCAAGGAATTACCAAACAGGAGATGTGACAAGGACCAAGGAATTACCAAACAGGAGATGTGACAAGGACCAAGGAATTACCAAACAGGAGATTTGACAAGGACCAAGGAATTACCAAACAGGAGATTTGACAAGGACCAAGGAATTACCAAACAGGAGATTTGACAAGGACCAAGTAAATACCAAACAGGAGATTTGACAAGGACCAAGGAATGACCACGCTAGAGGATTGACTAGTACCAAGGAATGAACACACTAGAGGATTGACTAGGACCAAGGAATGACCACACTAGAGGATTGACAAGGACCAAGGAATGAACACACTAGAGGATTGACTAGGACCAAGGAATTATACACTTGAGGTTTTGTCAAGGACAAATGAATAAACACATTACATGTTTTCACAAGGACCAAGGAATAACCTAAATCGAGGTTTAACAAGGACAAAGGATTGACAACAATAGAGGTATGACAAGGACAAAGGAACGACCACACTAGAAGCTTGAAAAGAACCAAGGAATGATCACACTAGAGGCATGACAAGGACCAAACTAGATATTTGAGAAAGACCAAGGAATGACCACGTTAGAGGTTTGGCATGGTCCAAGAAATAAACATACCAAAGGATTGACAAGAATCAAGGAATGACCTCACTACAGGTTTAACTTGGACCAAGGAGTGACCTAAATGGAGGTTTGACAAGGACCAAGGAATGGCCACACAAGAGGTTTGACAAGGACCAAGGAATGACCACACTAGAGGTTGTACTAGGTCCAAGGAATAAACACACTAAAGGTTTAACAAGGACCAAGGAATAAACACACTAAAGGATTGACAAGGACCAAGGAATAAACACACTAAAGGTTTAACAAGGACCAAGGAATAAATACACTAAAGGTTTAACAAGGACCAAGGAATAAACACACTAAAGGATTGACTAGGACACTAAAGGATTGACTAGGACCAAGGAATAAACACACTAAAGGATTGACAAGGACCAAGGAATAAACACACTAAAGGATTGACAAGGACCAAGGAATAAACACACTAAAGGATTGACAAGGACCAAGGAATAAACACACTAAAGGATTGACAAGGACCAAGGAATAAACACACTAAAGGTTTGACAAGGACCAAGGAATAAACACACTAAAGGATTGACAAGGACCAAGGAATAAACACACTAAAGGATTGACTAGGACCAAGGAATAAACACACTAAAGGATTGACGAGGACCAAGGAATAAACACACTAAAGGATTGACAAGGACCAAGGAATAAACACACTAAAGGATTGACGAGGACCAAGGAATAAACACACTAAAGGATTGACGAGGACAAAGGAATAAACACACTAAAGGATTGACAAGGACCATTGAATGACTACACAGGTGGATTTTCTACAGTTCTTTACAACTCAATGATTTTTTATTGAAATTCCTCAGGAAATGAAATCACCAGAATACTAACAAGTATTTTCTAAAAACAGAAACAGTGACCTTGACCTTGACTCCAGAACCCTGAAATTTGATTCCCGTCAAGACATAATAGTTATGTTATGAGTCTGCGAAGTTTGATCACAGAAATGTCACCGCTAGAGAGCTGACCATGATAAATACTATGTACAAAAACATATCTATATCCCCTCCAACATTCATTGCGAGGGAATCATAATCATTGTGTAGTCTGCATTGAAATTTTACACTAATTTCAGAAACTGTCTCCAGCCTTTGATACCGTAGTATTCCTCACGTTCCTTATATAAATCTGGCAGCGAGGTGTCATTTTAGCATGTTTATTTATTTGGACTGACAATTAAGCTTTTGCTTTCTGAGCAAACAAGAATCCACATAAACCAAGGGTATATGTAAACAAACATATATCTCTCCTTGTATCTACAATCTATTATGTGAGCTACAAAGAACTGTTGGCAAATAAACCATTTTACGTTAAGTACCGTGCATCAGTGTCATTCATACGAGTATGAATGACATATCAATATCAGTCCAATGGTCTTCAAAAACCCAAATGCAAATATATGCTCTTGATTTGAGTTTGGAATTACTTAAAATTGTTCTACATTAGTATACTGTATTTTTGGTATATAAAATGTACTAAACATACATTTAACTTTTGTCTTAATAACCGTGTTATCATCTATATTGCTATTGAAATCTAGCAGACAATTTAACGTTTTCAAAAATCACTATTAAGTGTTTGCTTAACATTTTGGATAAAAATACTTTTGATATATAACATTTTACCTTTTCCGTCAAATCCGTTGTAGTAACCGTCACCATGGATACCCCGTGCAAACTTTATCAGGATATCCGGATTTTCTAATGAAAACTTGAAACGTTTTGGTATAACACGTGCCCACGTCTGAAACGCGATTCTAAATGTCTTCCTGTCAGAAGAGAAAAGAAAAGTGTCAGGAAGAGAAAAGTATTATTAATCATGTTTATGAATATTCAAAATGATCTCCTTAATAAATATTCTACTTCTTTGTGTCATTTTTAGCTAGACGTGTTTGATGCTCGATAGTTTGCCTGTTGGTTCCATTATTGTATACATTACTCTCATCTGAGAACGTTACATTACTAACTTTGATTGAGCAAGGTTAACACGGTGGGTGACATCGGGACACCTTGTTTTATTCTCTTTGTACGGTTGCATTGGTCTCGGTGTAAGTCTTTCATTTGCTGTTGTTTTGCCCTAGTTTTATGAAATTTGAGTTTGGATTATGATTATGTTGACATGTTGGTATTTTCTTGTGTTTATTGAGCTATAACAGTGTTATAAACAGTTCAATTCCGAAATATTTGCAAATGTCGGTTACATTTGTCCAAAATCAACTTTGTTCTACACACTAGCTGTGACTTACCACTGCTTGTAAATCGGCATTTTCCTTGAGTATGATATTGTCCGCCACGTGATGACATTCTGTTTCCAGCCTCGACCTGAATAATAAGTAAGGACATAAAACAATTGATGCTAAATCTTCCTTGGATAAAAAAGTAGCTGCGTGATTTTATTGTTACTATTTAAGCATATATTTTCCCGCGGCCATATTTTCTTGTTTTTGGTGTTTTTTTTTATTTTTTATTTCATGGATATATACAGCTATATAAAGTTACTGGTACTTATTTTAGTAGTTCGTTGACTTATAAATTTGTGGATTACCCACGAAATCAGCGAAAATAAATCCCCCAAGAAAATTAAGGATTTCACTGTGAATAACCATAATTGTCAGCTCTCAAGAAAGGTTAGATACGATACCATACGATGTCTGTCTTTTCTTTCTCGAGTTCACCACAGGATGAACGTCATCCGGAAGTCCACAGCGAGGCTCCTCCATTTTATGTACTGTCCTGCGATTCAACTTTCCAGTCTCGCGCAACCCATTATAATGCTGGAATGACCTTGACATTACACAACAAAATCAGAGTAAATGAAGTGAAGAACATCATCATTTAAATCTATTCTCAAGTTGTATTTTCCCTATGAAGAATATACTGTGTAAATAGAGTTAACGTATACAATATATATATTCTAAAATGTATGTCATTGTTGTTGTTGTTGTTGTTACACAGTATTAGCGAGCTAATATAGATATCGTTCACATTCTCAAAAATTCACAATATCGACTCTCATTTGTGTAATGTAAGCTTACATAGTACATCCATTATACAAAAATTACTTGTGACCATTAAGAAGACTCCCCGTAGTATGTGGCAGCTATCTTTATGGAGATATATATCTCTGTGATCTTAGATGAGAAGTATGGTAGTGATATAGCGTTAACCTCAGATGGCCTGGAGAACATTACAGGTAAAAAAGGGATCACGGTTGATAGAATTTACCACATGTTTTTAATATCAATATAGACGCTGTTCCATAAAATGTACGATAAATCCTAACAGACTTATAAATCATTGGCGGATACTTAACCTCCGACAAGGCGGTGACCTATTGGCGGATACCTAACCTCCGAAAAGGCGCTGACCTATTGGCGGATACTTAACCTCCGACAAGGCGCTGACCTATTGGCGGATACTTAACCTCCGACAAGGCGCTGACCTATTGGCGGATACTTAACCTCCGAAAAGGCGCTGACCTATTAGCGGATACTTAACCTCCGACAAGGCGCTGACCTGACCTATCTTTAAAGTTCTCAAGCTTTTATTTTCTTCGGGAAAAGTGCTTACAAAGATGAAATTATTCATTTAGCTACAACCCTGTTATATATTTTAGATATTTGATTCTTAATCCATACTTGATGGTTATTAGTGTAACGTCAGATCAGCTAAACGCATGAATTCCAAGTAAATGTTTGAACGCCCTGAAGACTTTGAATAAAGGTTGCTGTTCACCGTATGCTGCCTTTCGCCTTGAAGATAACAAACACCATTAGAACTTAATATAATTGTGTTTCCTCATTGACAAGGGAGAATGGAGAAGTTAAAAAAACAAGTTTTCTATTCCTAAAAAACCAGCTTATCTGATTCTTTCTATTACACTTGGTCTGGAACTTTATTTAATGCATCAGACTGATATTTCTTTGTTGTTTACATTGCTCTAGCCAAGTTTAGTTGAGAAGGAACTTTGATGAATCTTCAAATACAAAAAAGTATGTATGTCATCAATGAAATTTATGAATGACGCATATTTTTTCTTCTTATTATTAATGCCCCAGAACCAGTTTCGTTGGAGGGCAATCTAGGGTTTAGACCCCGCGTTCCGTCTGCTAACAAATACTGTCCTCACGCAGGAGGGCTCTCATTCCCCTTACTTCACCAATAATTCATTCAATCATATATATAAATATATTATTCATATTACATTACTTTCCTTTCTTCCTTCCTTCCTTCTTTCCTTTCATCATCATTTTTTCATTTGATTATGCATTCGTTTAATCTTTTATTCATAAAATCATATATTAATATATTAAATAAAATAACGTGTCATATTAACCACTTACCCTTAACTATAATACTCTGAATATTCTCTGTTGATACCATTTTCTTGGACTTTATATACAGCGATTAATTACTGACTAATGGTACATAGTCAGTACTACGATATTAACATATCGTTAATGTCCTGACACATTCTGACTTGCACTTCGTAATTTACATCAATGGATACCGATAGTTAACACTACAAAGCACTGTAGCTCTTTGACTACATTCCGCTGAAAAAATACCACTTTTCTGTAAACCTTACCTGAAGATAATGTTACATATTCTGTTTATACTCCTTCTCGGTATTAGCTTTCTTGGTAGATAGTTTTAAAACCAATTTTAAAAGTACTTACTGAATTGCCTGATGTCTCTCCCTTCTATGAATGTGTCTTAGGTTGTCTAGGTAACCATATCTTATAAGATAATTCTGCAACAGAATTAAACTTTATTAAGTCAACAATACGTTTAAGCTGCTGTTTAAACTTGTATGATTATGATATACAAACATGACAATTTATTTACTAATTGATAAGGATACTGATCCATTCTGTTACATTTATTAACCTGTGCACGTTTTAAAAACAGAAATGACAGAATGTATATATTTTATTCTTAAGTTTTAGATGAAGTTTCCCGAGTTTCATTTTAGAACAGTTCGATAGAATTAGTCAATACTGTAGTCTACAAATGCTAATATTACAATTCATTTCCAATCCCACTCTGTAGTTCTAAATCCCCACACTTTCACCATCTTTGAACCCATTAATATCCAACAAGCATACAAGATGTTTCCCATTTTTATACTCCAGATCGAAAGATCGTGGGCATATTGTTTTTGTGTTATTTGTTTGTTGTGCAGTTTAATATTGCCCATAACTATTGCTCCTTAAGAGGTAGCGCTTTCATATTTTTCATATTTGCTGATGATAAGATCTTTCTGGTGGTAACAAAACTTATCCATGGAGTGATTATTGAACTCGGTCAGTTAATATGAGCGACCGTGTTCGAGTGTGACATCAGAATGTTTTTTACTCACTCCCATTTCGTAATTTTGTTACAATATACACGTTTGGACTTACTCGGTACATCTCAATGAAAGAGACATGGAATACTTATCACTATGATAGATTCTACAGCAGACGAACGCACTTGTGTCTGCAGAATAACTACATCTGTTCATTAAGCAGATGGTAATAACGTCCTTGCTGACGATGAAGAGTGACGAGGAAATATGGTATTAAAACATGGCAGGTGTCAGTTTCATCAGCGCATGTGGTGTTCATTATCGAAAACATATTTCCCTTTTTCGTACCTGTATCTCGCCAGTACGAGGAAGTCGATTGTACGTGTTAGGAAGCTCCAGTGAATGGCCTCATGGTAAATTAATTTTAAATCTGACGAGATTTCAACATTTCTGTTAATCATATTTTATTAAACGGTTGAAAAGCACTTATGATTTACAGATTCCGAGATACAGGACAAGTGTTCCTAAGTGTGGCGCATTTCATGTTCGTTCGGTGTACCTAGGATACTGTAGTTATATAACTATTCGGTGTACCTCGGATACTGTAGTTATATAACTATTCGGTGTACATCGGAGTATGGTTTATCTGCATTATTTACTACAAACTATATCCTCAAATATTTTCATTGTGTGATCTTCGTATACAAATTTGATTTCTGTGATTTCCAACAGAAACATTAACAAAGAAATCGTTAATGATGTTTTCTTTTTTTTTATAAACAGTGACTATTTTTTTTTTTCGAAGGTAAGCGTGAGAATATTTTCCCCGGGTCGGTGATCTGATAACTTGTTCTATTTACTAGAAGTTATTGACAGCTTGTCACTTTACTCTAAATAAACAACAGGTCGATATATGATCTTGCTTTACGACTTATAAAAAGAATCCATTGTAACACACAGTTGTTATCTGATCGTCCGTTTAGCCCTGCACTGTTTGACTTGCATGACCTTCGTTAACGCTACATGGCCAAAGGGAGGAAGTCCGGATGTTTAAATCATCTTAATAACAAAGAGCTCAATGATGTGGCTTATCTTCACAGTCTGCCGAAATCCGCACCTGATGATGCGCTCTCAAAACGAAAACTGTGGCAGTATTAACAAAACCGTTTGGATCGTAGTGGACTGTTCGTTGATATTCGAATCTCATGGCACGCTCTCAAATGCAAATGGAAAACACGGTAATCACAACTACATCTTTAGGGTCACATAGGATCATAATGTTCTGTAAATAAATTGTCATGTCCTATGTTACGCTGTCGAAACAAAAACTGTGGCAGTAACAGCAAAACCGTTAGGACATTCATAGTCTGTTCAAATCGATTAAAATTAAAGGAAACTTATCGATATTATTTATATGCTGAATAAAGGAGAGTATTTGTTTTTATATCTGATATGTATATGATGTATATAAAGAAAGTAAACATTAAAATATGTCTAGAAATAAAAACACAAGAGGAAGTGTATTGAAATACAACATTTAGAGATAAAAAAAAAATAAGGTAAACAACAAGGCTTGTGTAGTTGAAATATTTCTACACTATTGCACTAACCTGCTTTACATCTTGGTAGTTAAACAGACATTCTACGGTTAATTAAATAGTCTCAACAGTATCCTATAACAGTTTAGTCCCAGAGGGTCGAGTAGCGGGTGTTGTACGGCATTAATCACTAGATATGTCATCTTGTTTGTGGTTGACCTGGATCCTTCTGATATTTAAGTCTGATACAGAAAAGTACAGCTGCGATTACGATAAAACCCTTTATTATTATACAGCATCAATATGTGAGAGGTTACCCGCAACAAGAAGTTGTGTTAAAAGCTGCCGTGAGTTCAAATGTTAATGACCACATTGTGAGATGACCCTTAAAAGTGACAAGAGCTAAAATTGTGTCTTCAAAGAATCTGTAGAAAGATTCCAACGAGTTATTTAAGATATGTCCCTAAATTGCTCTACACTGAATTTTCTGTATATCTGTTTTATTCATAGAGCCATGGAGTTGTTGGTATTTATTTTATTGACATGCCAGAATTCTCTGTTTTTGTATTTGACTTTACTCGGTATATTACTGATTTCTTTCAGTCTTTGTTTAGAATTATGAACTCGTTGATAAAGTTTGTGGTTACTCACAAATTAAACGACCACAAAACCTAGAGTCAGATCTCTGGTTGGAGTTATAGGTGTGATGACACACAACATGCTGCTTTCACTAGAGATAACTTAGAACCCTGGTGGTTAAGGTGTGTTTACCACATGCAGCCAATATAAGAAGTATACTACACGGTTAGGAGAATAACTCAAGAAAAACCAAATAAAGAAAAAGAAACATGATCTGATATCTGATTTAATTAAGGGGTCGATATTAACGTGT